AGCTTTTTTTTTTGTTGTTATTCAGATATTTTGCAGAACAATTCTATTTGTTAACCAAAGAATGTTAAATTTTTTATTAAAATGCTTAAGTATTACAGTAAAACAAAGTTTTAAAGCTAAAAGGCTAAACTATTCCAGGTTTAACTCAAACTGAAAGAATTAAGAGTTTCATTTCTATGCATCGAATAATTAAGTTACTTTTCAGACAGAGTAATTAGAAAAGTAATTTAAATACAATATTGATGATGTAATTAGTAATTAATTACTTTTTTTAAGTAACTTACCCAACACTGCAACAATAAAAATTTATTTTATAAAATATCAGAATGTTGTTTATGAACTGTGTGGTAATACAGACAAAGCATATGTGCATGGATGACAATACAAAATCATGTTGTTTATGAACTGTGTGGTAATACAGACAAAGCATATGTGCATGGATGACAATACAAAATCATGTTGTTTATGAACTGTGTGGTAATACAGACAAAAGCAAATGTGCATGGATGACAGTACAAAATAATGTTGTTGTTGTTTTTTGTTAGGAGTGGACAAAATGAGTATTAGTGACTGCTAATGTTGTATACATGTACAGTATGTCAGTGTGTATGAATATGGTAGTAATTGCTTTGAAAAGTTTAATGCTTACAGCTTTATACATGTAGGCCCTGGTTTCACAAACACAGACTAGGCTTAAGCCTAGTCCCAGAGTAAAATACATTTCTGAGCTGTTTTATCTGAAAGAAACGTGCACGGACATACTTTAAAATATGTCAGTTCCATTGTTTTATGTCAAGAAGCAACAGTAATGTTTTCTTCTGGCACATTTAAAAGTTACTTAAAACTTTACTTTTCTTAAGCTTTTTTTTTTTGTTGTTATTCAGATATTTTGCAGAACAATTCTATTTGTTAACCAAAGAATGTTACATTTTTTATTAAAATGCTTAAGTATTACAATAAAACAAAGTTTTAAAGCTAAAAGGCTAAACTATTCCAGGTTTAACTCAAACTGAAAGAATTAAGAGTTTCATTTCCATGCATCGAATAATTAAGTTACTTTTCAGACAGAGTAATTAGGAAAGTAATTTAAATACAATATTGATGATGTAATTAGTAATTAATTACTTTTTTTAAGTAACTTACCCAACACTGCATATGCTTAAGATTTTAAAAGGCCAGTAGCACCAATGTATTTGGAGTTTGAGAGACAAGAACTAATTAATGGTTTTGCATACTAAAAACATTCATATCACAATAAATTATATTTTATGTCAAAGAGAAAAACTAAATGTATTAACTAATACTCAGAAAGCTAATTTAGAAATATATATGTAAATATATATACATACATATATACACACACATATACATACAGTATATATACACACATACATATATA